CAGGCTCCGGACACGCAGGCTCAGCGGCCATGGCTCACGGGCCCAGCCGCTCCGCGGCATGTGGGATCTTCCCGGACCGGGGCACGAACCCGTGTCTGCTGCATCGACAGGCAGACTCTCAAGCACTGCGCCACCAGGGAAGCCCATCACTTTTCTTTTTTTAACTGCACTTTATCAGCCAATTCCCTCTTTCAATTATTCATTTCTATAAAATGTGATGTAGGTCTACCACTGGCAGATAAAAAAGCAACACAAGTACTTGTTTTTCTGTCTGTGCTGAACTGACCAACAGATGCATAGTAACCAATCACTGACACACTTTAAAAGAAGTGACATTGGTCACTGACCATGATATGCATCTGCTATTTGCATAGTGTTTTGCGGACTGAAAAAGCTAGTAGCAAAGATTGTACTTTGCAATTACTCATAGTCAATAAATCTTAGTTACTGAAATTTGAACCATGTTGTTGGGAGACTGGTGTTATTTAAACTGTGGGAACTGAAATTGTACATGTCAGAGAACCATGCAAAGCTAGCACTGCCTGTACTCTCACAAGTGGGCAGTAATATAGTATATAATGTAATAATATATATATCCAAGGATGTTTAATTCAGAACTGTTTGTATTTGAAAAAAAATAAAAACAGAAACAACCGAAGTTCATTGTAAGAAACTGGTTTCAACAGGTTAATCATACAATAAAATACTCTCAGGGGATTAGCCTCAGAGATTAGGTGGGTGAGAAGAGGGGTTAAAGACACAAAAAGCAAACAAAGCTGAGGGGTAGCCACAGGAAGTGGGAAGCAGCCCTTCAATCCTTCTCCGTAAGTAAGAAGCATCTGTGGGGAGTGAGGAAGCCGAGGTGGGGCTCTGAAGCGATGAAGGGGGCTTAGGAGACCCCACGTGAAGGATGGCAGCAAGTCAGTAGGGACAACAGAGATAGAGTCAATAACGGAAGAGTGAACAGACCCTCCAGCTCTGGGGGCCCAGCTTAACTGAGATCATGAGTTGTTTGTAATAAGACCCAGAGGCCTGGAATTCCAGGAGTGGGAGTGGGGGAGTGGGGTAAAAAGATAACATGGCATGGGGAGATAGGAAGGGAGGGGAAACAGAAAAGGGAACAAGAGAGTCAAGGTGTGACTGCAACCGCTGAACAGGGAGGGTTAGGACCATGTGAACATGGGTATTTGGATGAAGAACTGTGAGAAGTGAAGGATCGAGCAAATGAAGGAGTTGGAATGAGGGAGGGAGTGAGGAAGGAAGAAGAACAGAAGTTATGGACTCTGAAGAGAATTTCAGAGTCTGAGTTCTCAGAAGTGGGACGGTCTGGAGTGGAGGTGAGCCCCAAAGTAGAAACCTGAAATTGGCATAAGGTACTTGCTGGAAGTAAGAAGATGAAAAAGTTCTGCTACTTTTACTAGTCATCGGAGTTAACCTTTTGACAATGAATGGAAATCATGAGAAGTTATTTATATTCTCAAATTTATTGACTTACAATACATATTCCCTCACTGATGAAGAAATTCAGTCATGAAGATGTATTACCAATAACCTTACTGTTCTAACTAAATATAAAACAAAACTTGTGGACAGTTCTGCTACAAATAAGTCTCATCTTGAAAAAAACTATGAAAAGATTTAGTGGAAAGCAAGCATTTAAATTGCAACCATGAGTTTAAAGCATACATGATATATGAAAATCTTTGCCCTCTTGTTAAGCTACAGAAGAGGCATGCTGATTTTTTTAATCACCTCTTTGTTACTAAAAGATATTATTTAGATTTACCTTTTAGATAATGCATAGCATGAAACTGAAACTAAAGTATGACCATAGAAACAATCATTTCACCTCTGTAAAAGATGAAATTTAAATTACCTACTACTTTGTTACACAACACCCAATCAGAATAGCTTTTAGTAGGAAATTTCTCTCCAACGATTACCAGAGCTGTGAAATCTAATTCAATTTGAATTTTCTTCTCAAAGTAGTTTAATCCAACAATGTCAAAATCCACCATCCTTTCATACCTCTATGACAATTTAGGTAGTTTTCAAGTTTTGATATTTTCTTAGAAGCTACAGACAAAATATTTTATCTTAGAAAACATGAAGCTTGGAGACATATAAGCAAAAGTAAAGTTGTTGGAATGTTTTGCCTCTATGTTAGAACAGTATTTATTTGGAGTTTCCTGCTTGTTTAGTTAGAGTCCCTGAATCATTTCTTGGACATTTAGTGAACCAAAACAGATATAAAGAAATCACTCAATTTTTTTTCTCACAAATTCCCTCAAACACAGTGGCGTTAACATAATGAGTATTATTCTTTCTTTATCAAGTATTAATACAAATGTGTCTATTGGCCTTTGCTAAAGGCCAGAGATGCAAATGAAAGCAATTCCTCCCCTGACAGAGAAAGCATGTGGACATTAAAATGAATGATTACAATGGAACTGGACAAGAGCTACAGTTGAAATATGTAAAAAATGTTAACATGCTACCAGCACAGTGGAGAGAAGAAAAGGAGAGAATGGTTACAAAAGGCTTCACAAAGAGAAACGGGGGAAAAAAGGAATTTCCCCTTCAATCAATA